GACCCTGTACAGGGTTTCCGAGTCTGTAAATGTTTACGGGAGCAGAAAGCCTCATCTTTCTCCGGTGGAGTGGCTGGTAGTTTTGAACTGTTGACCTTGCGGTTCGCAGCCCGATTTGAACCATTACGCTACCAGAGCGCTCCTTGGAGGCCAAGATGGCCAAACTTCATCTCTCATACATCAGACATATTGTCAGGAGTGGCCACTCACTGGAGAAAAGTATCATATTTGGTAAGGTGGAGGGTCAGAGAAAAAGAGGAAGACCCCCAATGAGATGAAGTGGCCAAGTGGTAGCATCAATGGACTCAAGCGTGGCAACAGTATTGAGGATCGGGCAGTGCTTCGTTCTGTTATGCCTAAGGTCACTATGGGTCGGTACCGACTCGATGGCGTCTAATAACAACAAAAATCATGATAGGAACATGTATGGATCAGGAGACCTGGAACCTGCCCTGGAGGCCAGCAGCATAAAAAGTGAAACCAAGAACTCACTCAGGGCTCTCCATACTCACATCTTTGTGAGAACGTCTATGCTTTAATAAACCTCCTTGCTCAAACCTCTATTTCTCTGGCTTCTTTTGTGTGGGTGTTGTGCCTACATGCTACAGATTCTTCAGAATAGGACACCAAATCCACACTGTAACAATAAGATAATTATGAAACCGTTAAAGTAATTTTTTGTTAACCATAAGGTCTGAATTAGTTTAACATCTGTTAATCTATAAACATCTTGGGGCCAGCCTAAGTAAGCATTCTTCCTGAGAACATGCAGTGGGAGGGCAGTCTAGGGAGGCTCAGGGAGATATTCTGGCTAGGTAACTTTTCAAAATCAGCTGAGAATAAAGAGTAAATAACAAAATAGAGTTCAGCATGCATCCTTGGCAAAAGTCTTTTATTTTATCAAGCACTTAGATTTGGGGGGTTCATTCACAATCTTAACATTTTTGAAAATTTCCATAGCATGGGTATACTATGCCACACCTACATTTGCAGGTTATTTTGTCTAGCCACTCAATCATGAATGATACCATTTAATTAGTGTAAAATACTCTAAATTCATGTTTTTATCTAACTGATACTGGTTTTTCCAATTTGTATAAAAATTGATCATCCCAGACAAATTTTTGCATACAATGTACACAATATTTAACTTTGACAGGTGTCATGGATTGATTTGTGTACTCACCCCCCTCAAAAAAATATGTATCTGCTTTTTTAGTTCATGATTCTCAGTGATTTGGCAGTTAATGTAACGATGTAATCTGTCAATTATGTAATGATGTAATCATTACACATGATTATCTGCTGTGATAAGCCAATCAGTTATAAGAAGGTTCAGATGAAATTTAATACCTTTACTCAGGTAACATCACAGATCTGATGTAAAGGGAGTTTTCCTGGGGTGTAGCCTGCATAACCTTTTATCATAAATAAAAGGTTAGAAGCGTGAACAGCGTACATATCTCAGTATGACAAAGACAGGAGCATAGCACATCCTTTGGACTCAGGTTCCCTATGCTGAGAAACTTCTAGACTCAGAGGACGATTGATGCCAAGACAACATGGTGATCTCCAAGAAACACTCATAGATGTTGAAAGGAGACAAGAATCTTCCCCAGAGCCAACAAAAAGAGAAAGTCTTCCTCTTTAGCTGGTGCCCTGAATTTGGACTCCTAGTCGCTTAAACTGTGGGGGAATTAATTTCTGTTTGTTAATGTCATCTACTTGTAGTATTTCTATTATAGAAGCACTAGACAACCAAGGCTACATCCGCTACACACTTTCATTTTGTAATAGTCTATTAAGATGACTTCTAGAAACTCCATATTAATTTAAAATAACTCACAACTATTAGACAATATACTTTTTCCACTATCAAGACAAAGGTATAAAATACCTGTTTATATTTTTAACAAAATGGCTATATATCAAAATTTTTTACATCCTGTGGGATAACCAAAGATAAATATGATCTTTTGAGTCACATACTCTTTAGAACACACTATTGCTTAAACATTGTTCTTTCACAGATGTTTATATAAAGATGGAAATCAACATTTGTAGCAAATGTCACCCATGACTGCCCAAGTGTGTTCTTGATTCTAGGCCTTAGTGTTGAACCATCTGTAAATTATATTACGAGTTGTAATCCCCCATCCACTACTAGAACATGCCCTGTAATATATGGCGTTTCTAAAAGAAACACAACTGCATGTGCCACTTCAGTAGGTTCTCCAAACCTCCCCAGAGGAATGTTTTTCTTTAAATGTTCTTCTTTCAAGTCTTTAGTCATATCTGTGCGAATAAATCCTAAAAAAGAAATATTTGTTTTATTTAGTTAAAATATGCTAAAAATAAAATGAGAATGAATTCATTCCTAAAAATTTGAGATTATTAATAAGCTTTGTTAGGAAATATAAATTTTTGCTAAATAATCAAGTAACCAAGTCTATATTTTTATTCAGTTTAACTCAATGAACATTTATTGAACAATAAAATCTTTGGCCTCTAAATATTTGGCCTAACACCTAGCAAAATGCAAATGAGTGAATACAAGCATGAAAAAAAAAAACACCAAAATTCCATTCTTGAAGCAACCTATAGCTCATAAGAGATACAGTCATTTGCACATCTAATTATAATGTTAGAAAGTTTATACCTTACAGAGAGATATTTCCTAGTATAGAAAGCTATACTAGGAAAAGACATATACAAAGTATCATGGAACTGATGAATTTTTATTTGATTAGGGCCAGAGAGTTAGAGGTAGTGTCCAGGAAAGAAAGCAATCACAAAGGTGGTCACATAAAATTATTTGTCAGTTCTGACAAAAATTATCTTCATTTGTTTATACTGATACTGATGATTAGAAAGGCCATTTTATCCAATATTCATGTTTTAAAACATCTTATGCTCATATTCAATTCTGATGCAAGCATACAACAAAACTTCACAAGTTAAATGGTACTGGTGTATGTAATAAACTTTGTAGATAATATGTGCTAAAACAAAATATATAGTACTACCATGACATATTATATAACCTATTTAAAATAATTCATGTTATAGATACATGCCAGGGAGTTTAGTAAGACAATATTCTGAGATTAGTCTGAGATATAAAGATATGTTACTAATAAAAAACTTATGCAATTATTTAGACTTTTAAAAGAAAGTAAATAATCTTCATGAAATGAACCAATCAAAGATCAATAAATTTTTTAAGGTCATGAAAAAGAGATGGAAATTATATATGACAAATGAAGTAAAAATTTAATGTGTAATCTAAAAAAACATAGCTTTCAAATGGACTTCAGTTAAAGCAGAATCTTTCATAACTCAAATTATAAATAAACAAATATAGCGTCATTAAAGTACTACAATAAATATGAACTGAACACTTTAATTAATTAAGAATTAGGATTAGGCTACTGGCTTATATAGTGCTATAGGATAAAGCATTAGATTCCAAGGTCAGTTTGAACCACAAGGTCGGTGGTTCAAACTCACATGCTGCTCCTTGGAAACCCTATACATGATTGATATGAGTCAGAACTGACTTGACAGCACTTAATAACAACTGGTTTATTATGCAATATTATAAAACTAATTTTTCTTTGCCTTAGGTTTTCATTTATAAACAAGCATTTTCTTAAAATCCTTGTAAGAAATAATCATAGAGTTTTATATAATGAAGCCTATGAAAGTTATACTAGGAAAATCTGGAAACAAATTGAAAATTTCAGTACCAAACTGGCTCAATAAATTATGGCACATCTAGCCAGTAGAAAATACTGAAGTATTAAAAATGATTCTATAGAAGAATATTTTAAATGACAAGGAAAAAAATACTTATATATAAAACTGAAAACAAACCAAACACATTGCCACTGAATTGATTCCAACTCATTGCAACCAAATAGGACAGAGTAGAACTATAGGGTTTCCAAGGCTGCAGTCTTAAGGAATCAGAGTTTACAAATGAGTTAAAGTATACTAATAATGAGCAAGAAAATAATCTAATATATGCTAATGACTGAAAAAATAGACACCAATATTAGCATTGATTAGCAGTATATACAGCACTCCTGGTGTGGTTCTGTAAAATAAGCAACTGGACTGCAAACTACAAGGTCAGTGGTTCAA